TATAAAGGATAAGATATATAAAATAGAAAATAGAAAATAGAAAATAGAAAATAGAAAATAAGAAATATAATATATATTATATATAATAAAAGTATAAAAAGTGTAAGGATAATAAGGATATAAGTAAAATAGGGAGTATATATAAAAGTGGATAAAGTATAAGAAGGAATATATATATAGAAGTAGATAATATAAAGGTATAAAGGTATAAAGGTATAAAGGTATAAAGGTATAAAAGTATAAAAGTATAAAAGTATAAAAGTATAAAGGGATATACATAAAAGGATAGAAGTATAAAGATATATAAAGATATACATAAAAGGATATAAAGGTGTGTATAATAAGAATAGGGAGAATGACAGTGTGGCCGAGTGGTCTAAGGCGATTGACTTGAAATCAATTATCCTCTGGATGCGTAGGTTCAAATCCTGCCACTGTCGTAATCTTTTTATAAACATAGAAATAATAGAAATAATAGAAATAATAGAAATAATAGAAATAATAGAAAATATAGAAATAATAAAAAGAACTTATAACAATAATGAGTGAAGGAATTAATGAAGAATCAAAAACTCTTACTTTAGCTCAAATACAACGACCATTTCTTATGGATGGAAATGTAGTAGTATTTGTTAAAAAATGGAAAAAGAGATATGTTGTATGGAAAGATGATAAATTGTTTTTCTTTGAAAAGAATTATGGAAAAGAAGTTCCTAAAGAAGTATTTATAATGAGTAGTGATACTACAATGACAACAGAAATAGAACAAAAAGAAAAAAAAAGTATTGTTAGATTTAAAGGAGTTTCAGGTGAAATTATGATATTAGCTGATGAGAGTATTTCATTTATTGAAATGGCATTTAAATTATTTAAATCTAATTTAGGTTGTGAAAAAAAGAAAGAAGAAATTGAAAAATTAAAAGTAACTCAAAAAGAACCTGAAGAAAATAAAATTCCTCCTTGGGAAGAAATAAAAAATAAAATAAATATTAAAAGTAAAATTAATGGAAAAGAATTACAATCATTATTTAAAGAATTAGGAAAAACAGTAACAGAATATTATTTTTATTCAATTGTAAAAGAAATAATTAATCAATGGAATGATGATGAAATTATAGAATTTGGATATCAACAATTTTGTGAAGAAGATTTAGAAGATTTTGGTTCATTATTTGGAGGAAGAGATAATTCTTCAACTGAAATTCAATTTGTATTAGGAACAAATGAAGAAAATATACTTAGATTACTTGAAATTTATATGAAAATATATAAACAATTTAAATTAGAATGGAGTGAATTAACAAAGTGTTTATTAGTATCAATGGCATGTTGGGAGTTATTTTCAAATACTGAATTATTTAATTTTATAATTGTTTATTTGAGTAAACAATTTGATATTTATCAACTTTTAACATTTTTACATCTTTATTGTGAATTTGAATCTGATTTAAAATTACCATTATGGCATTTATTCCCTTCTCATATAGAGTTATTATTTAAATCGTTTGTTTTTATTTTTTAATTCATTTATTTCTAATTAATATAATAAATGTCTTATTATTATAGAATTTGTTCTTCTTGGACTTTGGAACAAAAAAATTTACTTATTTCAATAATTGATGATACATGGGAATGGACAAAACAGCAAATAGATACATTAAAGTCTTTGTTAATCCCTTCGTAAATACTTTTCAATTATTCTTTATTCACTTCTTTATTTCTCTTCTTTTTTTTTTTATTCTTTTCTTTTGTTATTTCTTTCAAATATTTAGATGGATCTTTAAATAAAAAACAACTTTGAAAGTAAATGGAAGAAATCAAACGACCAATTGAATATTTTAGAAATGCCTTATTTAAATACTTTGATAAATATCTTCGAGAAATTACAATGAATAAAGGAATGGTTAAAATGTCTCTACCTTTAGCAATGTTCTTGAGTGGTATTTCTTTTGATGTTTATTCAGAGAATGAAACTATTAAAGCTGAACGAGATGAAGTATTCAAATATTTAAAAAAGGTTCAAATAAAGTCTCTCTATAACAAACGTCATAGAAATAGTGTTAATCCACTCTCATTTATTCTCACATCAAGTATCAATGAATTAGTCCTTTCAGATATTCCTTCAACATTTATTTTAACTGATCAAATTAGTCATCATCTTGTTAGTCTTAAAGTTGAAAATTGTCCTTTTAGTTTAGACTCTTTTACTACTGAGTGGCCCTTCTTAACTCAATTAGTCATTCAAAAAGCATCTATTCGTCAAATCTCCCCATTTATTTTCGTTTGTTATTTTTGTGTTATATATATAAAATTTTTGTTTATAATAATATAGACAAAAACAAAATTTCCGGTTCTTAAGAAATTAGACCTTCAACATAACTGTATCAAAGTATTAGAAAATATTGATGAACGTCCTTTTGAGTTTGTTTCTATTAATTTAAAAAAATATTTAAATAACTTATCTTTAAGTGAATTAATTCTTGCTAATAATTATATCCAACATATTTCTGTTCTATTACCAGGGTCAATTAGTTTACTGGATCTTTCATTCAACCAACTGACAGAAATAAAAGAAATTTCTAAATTTTTTAATCTTCGAGAATTAAATCTCAGCAATAATGACATTTACTTTAGTGATGAGATGAGAGGGATTTTCAATAAAATGTATTCTTTAACAAATCTTCATTTTGAAAATAATCAAACAGTGAATTATAGACAATTACTTATTGAAGAATTACCTTCTGTAGAACTTGGACTTAATGTCTCTATTGATGGTTTATCAGTACAACCAGAAGAAAGGTATCAGGCAATTGATAAAGTCTCAAGACTAGGAAGGTCACATTTTGAAATAGAAAAAAATGAGGAAGAATTTACTGAGAAAATAATGGCTATTTCTAAGAACCAAAAGGAAGTTTTAGTTATAGAAAAGAAAGATGATGTTGCTCTTATTACTTCAGAAGCAAAAAGAGAAATGAGACTTTCTGGGAATGCTTTAATTTCTATTGGAAATGGAAATATTGAATGTCATGTTAAATTTGGTGAAGAAGATGCAGACTTTATGATACAAGAAATATATAAATTAATGGAAAAACTTCAAAACAAACACCTTCAACAAGAAGGAAGATCTGAATCAACAACAGAAGAATCTATTGAACAAAAACATATTACAACTATTGTTACAGAAAAACCCATAGAAAAAGAGCTAAACCAAACAACTCCACATTTACAAACTCTTTCAACTAATAAAGATGAATTTATTGAAGTTAGACCAATTTTCAACGGAATAGATATTACTACAAGTGATAGTTCTGATAAATCATCGTCTTCAATGCATTTTGAAGGTATTTCTGATGCTCAACCAAAGAAACAACAATCACCAATTATAAATACACAACTAAATGTTAGTGATAATCAAGAACAACTTACTGGAGAAAGCACCAGTTCAGATAGTGTTAATGCCTCTTATATTTTAGATCAGAAATTTAAATAATTCATTCTTCATTTAATCAAAATTATTTTTGAACTACTCTAAATAACCCAATTTAAAAATAATATGTCTAAAAACTTTATTTATTTTATTATTGGTGATGTAAATTCTCAATTTTTATGCATAAATACTAACTAAATGGTTTCTTATATGTATTAGATAAATTGGTTTCCTTTGAATAAACTCATATTAGAAATTAAAAAATATTTCATTGTTTCATTGAAATAAATGTGAATTTACTTCATTAAATATTCAACTATATTTTCAAAATATTTGTATTATCTTTCTTTTATTTAAATAAGATTTTTACTTTTGAAAAATGTGTGGATGATTATTATAATTAATTTAACAAACAAACAATTAACAATAAATTATATTATACAAAAATGATAGTAAATACTTTTGGTATTGAATTTCATTAAAACTAGTTATCAAATTCTATTATTATAAGACATAATAAAATACTAAGTAATTTTAAAAGTACATATAACACAATGTAAATCATAATATATTATTTTAAACATTATTTTCATTAAATTTAATAAGAGGTAGAGTATTAGAAATATTATTCTTAAAAAGTTTATGATTTTTGTGTTTAATAAAAAAATGTAAATACTTATAATGGTATTTGTAAAAAAAAAACAATTAATAGATTTATCAACAATTTGATATTATGACTATTCAGAAGTGATTATTTATATTTCTTAAATATAATTTACCAATAATTTATATTTATTTTATAGTATTTGACAATTAGTTGATTTTCTTCTGGTATTGAATGAATTATTGTTAATTAATAAACCATTAATAGAAGTTATGAATTTTATCATTATTAATACATTTTGAATGATTATTAAAATCAATAGCATCAAATTCATTAAAATGTGTAATTAATATATGTTTAAATATTTGTTTACAAACATAATTATGTTTTGATTTTTAATTTTTCTTCATTACATCATAACAATATATGATTAATAGTGCAATTGTGTTAGGACAATGTTTACAGTATTTTAAAGCATCATTTTGTAGTATTTTAGATTTAATACTTCCATTCATACTTACATATTCTTGCATCTTTACTATTTGGAGGAATGCATTTCTTTTTATATTTAACAGTCTTAATATTGCTACTGTTAATTTCTTATCATTGAAAGTGCCATTTGCACATCTTATATATTCACCACATTTCTTTTCTTTCCATTCACTTAAATATCTTTCATTTAATTCATTATTTACCCATTCAAATACTTCCTTTACATTGTGCTTTCTTTCATTTAATTCTATTATATTCATTAATTCATTAAAATTAATATTCTTACCAAATACTTTCTTCATTCATTTTAATATTCCATATGGTTTTTCTTTTACTACTTCTATCATTTCTCATATTTCTGTGTTTGATATTTATATTTTAAATTTATTCTTATTAATTCTTTACCACATTCATCTCTTGCTGACATTAATCACATTCATAATTTAAATTCAAGTATTAGATTAATTAAAGAAATAAAAATTGAAATGACAACATAAAAGAAGTTAAACGTCTTGTTATTACAAACATGAAGAATGTCATGGAACATTGCAGAGAGAACAATCAAACATACTCCTTAGAGCTGCTTGAAGAAGAAAATTCATTGATGGGATTAATCTCCCCTAATCCAGGAACAACAGAAACTATTTCTATTAATACTTAATTCATTACTTATTACATTAATTTTTTTTTCTTTAATAACAGGAAAATACAACAAGACTAAGAATTATTCTAATTCTTTCATTTTTTTTTGAACCTTAAAAATGAGAACTTAAAAATATTTATTTCAAAAAACCCTTTATGTCACAGTCATACCACTTCAAAATTGTTTTGTTAGGTCCTGCTTTTGTTGGTAAATCCGCTATTGCTTTTCGTTTTACTAAAAACACGTTTATTTCTGGATATGAACCAACTATTGAACAAACCTTTAACAAGACAATTGAATTTGATGGTAAACAAGTTCGTTTAGATGTTTATGATACTGCTGGTTCAGTTTGTTTTGCAAAACTTTTTAATACTTAACCTTTACTTTAACTCATAATTAAGGAACAATTCAGAACACTACTTGAACTTTATATTAAAGAAGGGGATGGCTTTATTTTAGTTTATGCTGTGGATGACAATGCTTCTTTTAATGGCATTAAGTGTATTTATAATGATATTGTCAATATTACTACTTCTATGAATGATGGTGTTGTACCATTAACCTTACCACCAATACTTATTGCTGGTAATAAGTGCGACCTTGATGACAAAGTTGTAAAAAATGAAGAGGTTCAAGAATTTTGTAATACTCATGGTTGTGATTTTCTAGAAACATCAGCTAAACGTAATGAAAATATTGATCAAATCTTTGCATTATTAGCAAGACGGTTAGTTGAACAACAAGGAAATTTACAAAAGAAAAATAATTGTGTAATTTTGTGATTTTCTTATTGGATATGAAAATTCATTTATTCTTAATAAAAGTTTCTTCTTTTTTATTTTTCTCTTTCTTTTGTATTTTGACATCTTGACACATCATCATCTTAAAGTAACTAAAAGACACGTCTTTATAAAGAACTATTAAAAAGAATAACTTAATCATTATTAGCCTATGCAAAGAAATCTAGAACGTTGGCCACAAAATGTTGCTGGTCCTTATTATGTTGATAAAAAATGTATTGACTGTGGAAATTGTAGAAGACATGCCCCTAATAATTTTGGTCGAATCAATAGTGAAATTCATTCTTATGTTAAAAAACAACCAACAACCCCAGAAGAGATAGAGTCATGCAATAAAGCCATTCTGTGTTGTCCAGTCCATGCTATTCATAAACAAGAATAAACCAACTAAATTAATTAAAACAAACTAAAGAGGCATTGTTTTTTTATTAAATTAAATCCGTTTTTTCCATTCCAATGAATGGAGTTACTTTTCCTTCTTCTGTACGATGGATAAATTCAAAAAAATGATCCCATTGACCATTTTTCTTAGCATATTCGCCTATTTCTTGTTCAATTTGTAGATATGAACGAGTACAGACAGAGCAAAATTGAGAGTCTTTCTTTATGTCATAACGAATACATACATCGTCTATTCGTTCTTGCATTGTTACTATATAGTCCCATTTTACTCTTTTATCAGCATAACAAACAATGTCAATTTCTGTTAATTTCCCTGGAACTCTGATTGGATTGACGTGTTGAGCAATTATTTGACAAATTGCTTCACTACACCCTAATTCTCTTGCAACACAAGCACCTGTTAATGGATGATCTTCTTTTGTAACCAAAGAACGTGTTTTAGTGATATCATGGAGTAAAGCACCCATGATTAAATTGGTTTTGTTTACCTTACAAAGTGGTGAGATTAAGTCATAAATTTCAAGAGATAATTGCATTACTTTGTATGAATGAGAGTAAACATACAAACTTGTACTTGTTGTTCTAAGCATTTTTTTACATTCATTGATAATGTCTTGATTATCTGTATCAGTCAGGCTCATTTCTTTTTGAATAAATTGTAGTTTAAGTTTATTCTATCTAAATGTTTTATCACATAGAACAAAGAGAGTAAAAGTTTTATTACAAATCCAAGATAGAAAATTATAATTTAATAATATTTTTACAAATAAATATAGTAAAATAAAATTTTTAAAAATTGAAAAGGAAAAAGGAACTTCAAAAAATACTCAAAAAGATGAAATCAGCTTCTCAACTTTCATGTCTCCTTCTCAAAAAACGATTTGTTCCTAAAATGAAAGATATATTGGAAACAGAAGATCAAGTATCACACAAAGATATTGTAGAGTATATTAAAAGTGGAGTAAAAGATGAAAAAATATTAAAAGAAGTACCTAATGCTGAACAAAGTATTGTTGATGCACAAGTACTATCAGGAACTTTTACTTACACATGGCCACCAGTCACTTCAGAAGGATGTTTGAAAGATACCATCATGTTTGTTTATATAAAAGTACAAATTGAAGGTGAAACTGCTATTGTTGCAAGAACTTATGGGGTTGATGTTAGTAAAGAAATTAAACATACATATAATCAATTATTAAGATTAGAACAAACATTAGCAAGTAAGTATAAATCAGGAATAAAAGTTGATACTAAAGTAATTGAAGTAGCAGGGTTAAGTCAACAAGTCGAGATTATTAAAGGAGAAGAAATATTAAAAGAAGGAAGTGTTATAATGATTCGAGTTTGGAGTGGTCAATTAATGATTTGTGATACATGTTATATTGGTAGTAAAGGACTTATTAATTTAACTAAATTTGTTGGTAGTAATAGTTCTAGTGTCTTCTTCTCATTTAAAGATGAAGAAGAACCAGCAGAAGTATTATCTAAATTCAGAGATAAGAAGCAACAAGAAGATGAAGATGAATTAAAAGAATATGAACAACAAAGAAAAGAAACTATGAAAGAAGAACATAGACCAAAAGTAGAAACTTTAAAAAAAGAAAAAATTAAAGCAATATGTTATAATAACCAAAAAGAAATGCCTTCAAAAAATGCATTATATATTAATTCTGATGTAAAAAAATATGCTATTTTATTACCAATTAATGGTCAATTAGTTCCATTTCATGTTGCATATATTAAAAACATTACTACAAGAGAAGGATTTTTCCGTATTAATTTTAATGTCCCTAGAGAGACTGAAGAAGGAACAGTTTATGTAAAAGAATTATCATTTCATGTAAGAGACTCAGATAGAATTTCAAGAATAGAAAATGATTGGAAAGAAATGAAAAAAAAATGGAATGAAGAAGAGAAGATTAGAAATATAAGAGGAATGAAAGAAGAGAAATTAGTATTAAGAAAAGAAAGTGTCCCAATACTTAGGTCAGTTTGCATTAATCCAGTATTAAAAGGAAAAAGAACTGAAGGTGTTCTTGAAGCACATATGAATGGATTTAGATTTGTTTCATCAGGTGGAAATGTAGAGCTAATGTATGATAATATTCAACACGCCTTTTTCCAAAATGGTGATACAGAAACAGTTATATTATTACATTTTCATATGGATCCACCAGTTATTATTCAAAACAGACCTATATCAGATATTCAATTTTATAATGAAATTATGGATATTTCACTTAATATTGATCGTGGAGATAGGTATTATAGCGAAGCAGAAGAAGCAAGAGAAGAAGAAAGAGAAAAAAGAATTCGTGCAAAATATAATCATTTATATGCTGAATTTTTAACAAAAGTCAAAGAAAAAGATATTCCTGTTAGTTTTGAAGTTCCTTTCAGAGAATTAAAGTTTGGAGGAACAATTAAAAGAAATACAGCTACTTTAGTTCCAACTGTTAAATGTCTTATTAATATTTCTGATGCTCCATATAAAGTTATTGAATTAGATACAATAGAAGTTGTAGTATTTGAAAGATTATCAAGAAGTCTTACCTTAAAAAATTTTGATATGGTAGTAATTTTTAAAGACCATCATAAACCAGTATTACAAATTAGTTCAGTTTCAAAAACTGATTTAGATCATATCAAAAAATGGTTAAATAAATGTGAAATTAAAAGTTATGAAACAGTCCAGAGTTTAAATTGGATAAATATTATGGAAGCTGTTAATTCAGACCCAGTGGCTTTTGCTGAGAAAGGTTGGTCATTCTTAGATGCAGACAATACCAAGTCTGATAGTGAAGAGTCAGAAGAAGTTTTTGAACCTGATGAAGAATTAGAAAAAGAATTAGATGCAGAGGATGACCTTTCTACTGACCTTTCAAGTGAAGAAGAATCAAGTTCAAGTAGTGAAGAAGAGGATGATGATGGAGAAAGTTGGTCTGATCTAGAAAGAGAAGCTATTAAAGATGATCTTGTCAAAGACAGAGAAGAACATGAGATGATAGGTCGAGCCCAAATGATGAAACAACGCCAAAGAGTTCAACAAAGAAGACCATCACAACAACGAAGTACTACAATACAAAATTTCTTCAAGAAAACATCAACAACTCCAACAACATCCTCTTCTAGTAATTCTAGATTACAGCCGATTAAAATTAATAAAGCATTTGTTCCTACAAAGAAACCAAGTAACTTAGGAGGGATAAAACGTCAATTCTCTAGTAGTTATGCAGGAACAAAGAAACCTTAAATGAATGACATTTTTATTTTTTATTGTTTTTTCTTTTCGATTGTTTTTGATACTAATACATAACAGAACTTATTATTAAAGAAGAATTAAGAAATAAGATTAGTTGTGGAAGAAATGGATTGGATGGGATATTATATTCTTGGAATCGCTACCGCTATTGTTATTATCTTCTTAATAATTATGACATTTCTTACATGGTTCTTCGTATCTCGTTGTTGGAAAAATAAATACACAGAAAGTGAAATACCAAATGATCCTTTTGCCGAAGTGAATTACACGGCAGTTCAAGAAGATGATGACTTACCATTAAATGCTAATGTTTGTTATTATTTTAGTTATATATAACGATATTTAATAATAAAACTAATAGTATAGTAAATAAATTAAAGAAATTAGTTTTATTGTTTATTTTATTTTTAAAAAAAAATTAGGTTTTTAAAATTAAAGAAAATCTTTTTAAAAAACAAAGTCAGAAGAAATGTCATTGATAGACAAAATGAATAGTGACGAATATGAGATGGTGTTGATCACATACCCACGTTCATACGACATATCAAAAATTAAACAATTGACCTATAACTCTAAAGGTAAAAAAAATACTGTAGTTCCTATGGAAAAGACTTCATACCAAAGCGTTATTCCATTGGTTAATAATAAGAAAAAGATGTCAGTTTCAAAACCATTTGTTGATGGACTTGAGGTTATTATTCCAGAAGAGTATAAAGACCAAGAAAAAGAAGAAGATATTGATTTCTTTCATTCATCAAAAGAACCTAAATATCACTTTGTTGATTGGCGTACTATTACTGTTCAAAGTAAACCAGAATGGCTAACCCTATGTAGAAAATCTGAATCAAGTCTTAGCAAACAAAAAAAAGAAGAAGCTAAACAAAAAGAAATTAAACAAAAAAAGGAAGAAGCTAAACAAAAGAAATTATCTAAAAAAGAAGCTAAGAAAGAATCATTGAGTGAAAAAATTAAACGTAAGAATGCAAAAGTATCATCTTCTTCATCTTCTTCTGACTCAGAATAAAAAGGCTATGTTTTATAAACAAAGACCTCTCTTTAAAGGAATGAATTGGAATTATTTTTATATATCTATTTTCCACATCCTTCTGATTGTTATATTTTATATTATGAATCTTAAATGTGAAAAATAGTAAGTACAATTAATTTATTCTGAGTCAAGACTTGAGTTGAGGTAATACCTCGTTATATTCTTTTGACCAAATTCTCCAGTTAGAATTGAATGGATTAAATTTTGTGCTTCTCCCACACGTTCTTTATCACAATTAAAGAATAAATAACCATATGTCGTTCCATTTTTAATACAACACTCTCCAAATTCTACTACAGAAAGACGAAGTTGTTCTAATACATATTTCTTATTATCAGAAGCAACAGCAAGAGTAACAAGTTCTTTTTGATACTCTTTTTTATCTCGAGCTTGAAGAATAAATGGTGCTGAATAAAAAGGACCTCCAGGAAGGTCAAGGCATAGACATATTCTTGAGTGTTGATGATTTCTTGATGAAGAACAATATGACTTACAACAATTAAATGAGTATTTTTCTAACCCATCTTTTAGAGTAGAAGGTCCTATTTCAAGTTCATCATAATGGTCAATTTCAACTAAAGCCCGATCAGGATGACAAATTGAGCATGATGGTATTATCTCTCTGTCAGTTTCTTTTACACATGTCATTGCAAAACAAGCCTTAATTATTTGTTGAGAAGAAAGGTGGTGGTATTCTCTCCAAGAAGTAGATAAAGTAATTGTTGTTGTAAAATTCCGGTGACGGTATATTGTTTGTGTTGAAATTGCTAATTGGGGTGGTTTTAAATCCGTTGGTACTTTAGTTGAAATGTGTAAGTATGGATACATTAGTAGAAAAATAAATAAACGATAATACCCTAATTATCGTATTTTCAGTTTCAAAATTGAGCATATCGAACGAAATTTGTTCTATTTTTGTTTGTGTCGTATTCTAAGATTTTTATTTTATTCAATATTTACTACTGTTGTCCATTCAAAAACAAGCATCATGGATAACATTCATGGTTGTTGAAAATGAAATTTCTTTCTTTAGTTTTTTGAAATTTCCTATTTGTAGTACAAAAGTTAATAAAAAGTTTTTAAAACTAAGATATGATATTTGTAGATAAGAGTATGTTTCAATTATTTTAACATTTCTCAATTAGACTCTTAATGTATTTTGTATTAACATAATTTTTATCTAAATCTAATGACCAGAACATAACACCTCCAAGTTTTTTCTTACATAGATAATCTGCCTTATATTTAAAGGTTTCTTTAGTATCAAAAGAGAACCATTGGTCATTTTTATATCCATACATTGTCTTTGATTTTGAATCAAATTTAATATTTTCTTGGGGAATCAAAGCATCTATTTCATATTTAGATAAATATCCATTTTCTCCTGTACAAGTCCCACTTTTACTAGCTCCAGTTGCAGCAGATCCCATTTCATGATCAGAACTTGATTTCAATGTCCAACCCCTTCCATAATGAGCCATTCCTAACATAATTTTAGTTGATGGAACCCCAGCATTTAAGTAAGCTGTAACAGCATCATCAACAGAAATTCCATCAGTGGCATACAATGCAGTATGAGATCCTGTAACTGCATCCCATGATCCGTGAAGATCATATGTCATTAAATTAATCCAATCTATGTATTGATGGAATTTACTTACTTCAATATTTTTAATGTTCCATGGACCAGCAGGTGCTGCAATTGTCAACAATAATTTGGATTTTCCATTACCTGCTTCTTTGTCTATAGCCTCTCTGAATTCTTTTAATAATAGTGTGAATGATTGTGTATCTACAGGCCTTCCTCCTTGGTCTTCATTTGCAGGATATTCCCAATCAATATCAATTCCATCAAGATTGTATTTTCTTGCAAAGCTCATTGCACTTTTAATGAATGTAGCACGAGTTGCTTGCTTTTCTGCCATTTGACTGTAAAGATGTTTTGTTGAATCATAGAAATTGAAATTCCATCCTCCAATTGAAGCAAGAACTTTGAGATTAGGATTTCTTGATTTCATTGCAACAATTTTTGGTATCATTTGGTCATCATTCCATTCATATTCCTTAAGTGTATAGGTTGAATCAAAAACAACAAAAGCATAATTGATTACATCCACAATTGTTGGATCAATATTATCTGCTGTGTATTTACAAGTCCATCCATCAATTGAATTGAATCTGTATTGTGCCCAATTAGTATAATAAGCAACTGTTTTCTTTGGGATACTAACTTCTGGCTCAGAAGATTCATGTTTAGATTCAGAAGAATCTGGTTTAATTTCAGAAGATTCATGTTTAGATTCAGAAGAATCTGGTTTAACTTCAGAAGATTCATGTTTAGATTCAGAAGAATCTGGTTTAATTTCAGAAGATTCATGTTTAGATTCAGAAGAATCTGGTGACTTCTCAAAGAAATCACCTGGCTTTTTTTCACAATCAGGAAGGTCAAGGAAATTCCACACACAAGGGTTATATTGTGTTCTGCCACATTTACAAACAGTTTCTCCTATACATTTACCTGGTGTTCCTTCTGTTCTTCCATAACACCAAAGATAATTTTTATTATCGATACAATAAAATCCGTTAGAAAGACCTTCACAGTTGTGAGCGTTTGCCATATAAATAAGATAAATTAATGCCAGTAGTGACATCGGTGATTAATACTTTTCAATTTATTACAAAGTCCTTTTATATTACTACCTTTTCACCAGAAGAAAAGAGATATGATTATTATAGTGATTATGACTCATTTCTTTTCATTTTAGAAATCAAAATATATTTATTAAAGAGTAATGACTTTCTTTTCATCATATTTAGTTATTTTTTATTTTAGATTTTTTTTTAAATTTAACTTGAAAATCATAACTTGAAATGACATGGCAAGAATATGTAGATGTTGAATTAATTGGTTCTGGGTATTGTAAAAGTGCTGTAATAATTGGGATGGATGGAACTGAAAATGCAGTTTCACTTCATTGCCATTTAGAAAAGAATGAAATTGCAAATTTAATATCATTGTTTGGTGATTCCAAGAAGAGACAAACAGGAATGAAAATAAAACTTAAAGGGACAGGATGTATTATTCAATATGGAGGTGATAGAACAATTACTGCCATGTCAGAAAAAGAAGACGAAGGTTTTGTTATTGTAAAAACAAAACAAGTAATAATTGTTGCAACATATGGAGATTATATGAAAGAAGAACAATGCCTTTTGGTTGTTGAAAAATTAGCTGATTATCTAATTCAAAAAGGTTTTTAGATAAAAAAAATTTATTTAAGATAAAGAAAATATAACAAAAATAAAAGAGAAATGATGAATTAGAAGAGTTAGTACATATATCAATATAACTATCAAATTCTGATGAAATAAATTCTAAACCACTTTTATTTTTAGAGTTAGTTAAAGAAGAAAGTGAACCAATGATAGAATGAAGTTTGTTAAGTTGAGACATAGTAAATATTGATGTTACTTTATTAATATCAATAGCATCAGTCAATGAACGAAGAGAGTGAAGAAGAGAATTAACATTACTTTCTTCTTTGAAATCACAAAAGTCTATTAAATTAATAAAATAAGTTATTACTAATGAATTATATATTGAAGTTGGTATAAATTCAAATAAATAATTAAAAACCATTGATAAATAAGGAAATAAATGAGGAATTTTAATTGAAAGTAATGAATTTAATAAAGAAGGTATTTCATTAATAACTTCATTTCTTTTAACAGAAAGAATTGAAATAATTAATTCAATGAAAACAATAGCACTATTTTCTGAATCTATTTTATTAATAAATGGAAGTAAATAAGGAAGTAAATTGATATGAATTGAAATTAAAGAGATATTAGAAATTAATAGTTTTTGTAAAGTAATATTAGTATTATATAATAAAACATTTATTATATCTTTGATTATTATTTTTATTTTATCTTCATTAAAATGAAGAGTTTTTTGTTTGATTAGTTCAAGACGTAATTTGTTAAGAAGAACCATATTATCATTATCATTATTTTTTGTAATATTTTCTATATCTCTTTCTAACTCTTCACTTTTTAAAGTACTTGATGGTAAAATACTTAAAAACTCTATGATTGATGAATACATGCTTCCATCTTTCTCAATGATAGAAGGTAAAAGTTCATTAATAGTATTTTGATGATAAATAATTGATGTACTATTTTTCCATTCATCCATTAAATAACTAATATAATTCATAACAATATTAGTATTTGGAGATTTTTCTAATAACATATGAAATATGTTAATATATTCTGTTGAATTTTCTTTTAATTGTTTTGTTTTATTTAATAAAGTAATAACAATAATACAATCATTTTCTGTTGTAATAACTTGACTCCAGCTAAGTAATAATTGTATTTGTTGTTCATGAGATAAAGTTAAATATATTTTCTGAATAATTTCATTAATATCATGATCCAATTCATCTTTTTGGATGATAGACTCATTCTTTTGTATCTCTTTGATAATATCAGAATAATCTTCAAGTAATTTGAAATAATAACAACTTAACGAAATAATACTATTCTTTATTTCCTCTTCATTGTCTTGAAAAAGAATGCTATTATGATAATATTTGACTAACTCAATTATACTTAGAACCATTTCATTGTTAAATTCTGTTTGTTTAAGTTTATGTTGAAAATCATCAAATAACACATTTGCAACATTAATAAAACACTCAACTATTTTAATTTCATTAGGAATTTGTTCTCGTTCTTCAAAAGAGAATTTTGTTCTTGTCAACTCTCTTTGACAAATAATATGATTTAATCTTTTTAAAGGTTGAATAGCACTTTTATTCATACAACCTTCTAATTGAGATACTGGTAACACAATAAAATACAATAGATTTATTTCATTTTTTGGAAGAAGGTTTGAATCAATTAAATTTTGATAATTATTAAGTACATATGAATAAAACAGTGGTTGGTCTTCTTTAAGAAAAAGTTGGTTCAAAATAAACATTGCCATTTCCTCTGGTATTTCTTGAAATTCTTTTTCAGAAAAATATATAAGAAGATATATCAATCCATTACATTGAGTAATAAGATAAAATAATTCTTTTTGAATAATATTTCTTTGTTCTGTATTTTGGATAATTAATTGAATAAGAGATTTGACACTTATTTCAAGATCGAAAAAAGGACGAAGGGTTTTTAATTCAGATTGATCCAATCCTATGTCAAGAATAGCTGCATAAATATATTTCATATACTCTTTTATTATTATATTCATATTTTCTATTTTAATATTTGGTAGTATTGAATTTATGATTAGTTTTAGTTTGTCAGTATTTCTTTTTGGGTTTATTTTTATAATAAATGTATTTTCCCCTATAAATTCATCATCATCTTCTTCTACATGAATTTTTGTTAAATTTGGAATAACCCCCCATTGGATTATTGTCTCAACCATTTCGATAATATGTTTTTGTGTAAAAATTGGTATATCTTTCTCTTCTTCAGTTTTATTTTCATTTTTCTTAAAATCTGAGACAATTTGATTAAAAACAATCACAATATTCTCTATAAAAACTTCCTTTACATCGTATTTTTGAATCATCTTTTGAATTCTTTGTTTTCTATCTTCTTCTTTTTCAATTTTGTTAGTTCTAAAATCGATAAATCTAATACAACTATCAGCAACAACTTCTTCAGGAATACGTGACTTATATGTTGGTTCCATTAAAATTTCAATTAATTTTTTTGTGCTATCTTCCATTAACAAAGGAAACTACTCTAACTAAGTTCACTTAGAAGTTTTCTTCTTCATAAAAAACAAAAAAAAAAAATAAACCTTTACAAAACGATAGTAAATATGTTATTAAGAAGAACAATGAAATTTTAGGATTGAAATCCAACTTCCATAAAACGAAATAACTCCAAAACAAAACTTTTAAATTCAATGTCCCTTTTGTTAAATCAAATCAATATTTAATAAAAAATCTAATTTAATAAAATGAAGGAATAAATAGAACTTCTTGGGTTTCATGAAGTCAAAAAGTAAACCACTGACTTGAAAAGGAATGTAAATGTGTTTTGACTACAAAAGATAATTCAAAGCTGAAAAAGCAAGTGATAGAACTGCAAAACCACATTATTAATAGGATGTTGAATATAATATTCTTCCTTACTTTACTTTTCTCTGTTGTAAAAGCTGATTTATTTTCATTTGATGAATTTGATTTAATTGAAGAGCTTTCTTTTGGAAGTCATTTATATGACTCTTTTGAAGAAGAACAAGATGATGAAGCATTAGATGCTTTTATGACATTATTTGAGACAAATGATTTTCTGTTATCTGATACTCTAAAGGGAAAGCAATGGAGAAATGCTCGAGTAAAAGTGGCAAATAAGATTGATAAAACAAAAATGCGTGTAATAAAAAAAGCTCAGAATGCTGCTGCCAATGTTAAGGGTGCACTAACTGATGTCCTTGAAGAGTCAACATTGTGGATGGCTAAAAATGGAGATGCTGTGGCTGAAGTTTTGGAGAAAGTTGAAAATGTTGCTGGTGTAGCTAGTAAAACAGCTGGTGTAGTTGGATTTGTTGCTACAGCTGTTTCCCCAGTTTTCCCTCCTGCGGCAGGTGTTGCTGGTGCTGCATTAGCAGTTTCTCAAGTAGCCAAAGGAATTGAATATGGAGCTAAAGGATTAGGAGTCTTAACAAAGACTGCAACTCAATTTTCAAAAGGATATCAAGTTACAGAAGGAACTACTAAAGAGAGACTAAAAGCTGGAGCTAAAGAAGGAGCGAGACAACTTTTAAAAGATGGAATAAGTATTGGTACAGAACATCTAACAGATGCTCTTTCTGATGCAGTAACAGGAACTCTTGCAGAAACTATCTCTGGTGCTGTGGGTGCTAAGTTAGATGAGTCGTCTTCTTTAAGTAAACTTGCACAAGCAACTAAAGATACAGTTTCAGAGAAAGTTGGAGAACTAGCTACATCTCCAATTACAACAGGTATTGAAAAAGGTACAGGAAAATTGGAAGGTGCTGCACATGTATTTGTTGATAAAGTGTTTGGAGAAAATAAGAATGTTACTGACTATGATGTACATAGTGTTAGAGAAATGATGAGTAGTGGAAAAACTGGAAGAGCTTTATTGAAAGGATATGATAAATTTAAAAACAGTGGAGTTGGTAAAGCATTAAGTAAATTAAAAAAAGGTGCTTCTAAAGTAGAATCAAAAATTGACTCAGCTAAAGATAAAGTTAAAGATGTTAGTGGATATAATAAATTAAAGAAAAAAGTAAATGGTGCTGTAGATAAACATCTAAGTCCAAAACTTGATAAAGCAGCAACTAAATTAATTGAAAAAATGAAGAAATCAAAAACAACTGCAAGTGGTTCTAATGCAGGAAGTGCAACAAATAATGTAACCAATCCTGGATCTAGTACTGGAGGATCAACAAATACTTCAAGCAGTGTTAGTACTTCTTCTCAGAGAAGAAATTCTGTGAGAAGACCAACTCTTACTAGAACTAGATCAACTTCAAATGGTTTTGCTACTAAGAATTCTAGATCTTCAATGAGAAGTTCGTTAAGTTCTAGACAAAGATCTTTATCAGTTAGAACCTCACGTAACACACCATAACAAATTTAAAGATCCCAAAAGAAGTAAGATAAATTTCTTTTTGGTTTTTTATAATTCATTCTTGAATTTTTTTAGAATATTTTAGATTCGTTGTGATACAAATGAATCAAAAAAATAATCTTGAAAATAAAAAATCTTAAAAATGAAATGGAAGTTAAATATCAACAAATCAAACATCTTAATAAAAAGTATTTAATTCAAATGATTATACTTGAAAAAGAAATCATTGTAGTTATACAATATAAAAACAGTAATGAATTAAATGGATTATCTTTATCTCAAAAAACAGTTGAACAACTACCAAGTACAACTCAACTTTATGGAGATGTTTTAGATTCAGAATCTCAGTCATTATCACAATTATTTTCTATGAAATTAAAAAAGAGAGTGACAGTTTCATGTAATGTTACATTTGATATGTTTGATGATTCAAAAGCTTTTGTCTCTTCACAAATACTTCAATTTCTTTCTTGAACACTTAAAGAACAATCATTTTGAGTTGATAAGTAGATGGTCTTAAATATTATTTTTGTTTTATTATGTTATAGAAAAATTATTCTTTCATATATAAAAGAACTTTGTTTTTCATTACTTATAAAAATATGGAAATAGTTTAAAGATAATTCCTTGAAATGAAAATATGTTTGGTTGTCAAAGAATATAAACATAATTTTAAGTAATATTTAATTACAAAATAAAGACTATTTGTTTTGACACAAAAATATTTTCATTTTTTGGTTGTTTTTATTTCTTTAATCCTTTCAAAAAAATGTGTGGATTTATCTTAACATTAAGAAGTTTATAATAAATAGTTTAGGAGAAAAACCAGCAATGTCATTCTTTATATTTCAATTATTTTTTGTTTTATAAGTCAATATGTTATATAACACTATTAAATAAAATTTTAAGTTATTTGTGGTTTGGAGAGGAGTAGCAGTTATTAATGTCTCTCTTCTAGGAGAAGTTTAACTCATTGTCTCTAACTTTATTTTTATAGGCATAAGAAATTGGGTATATAACAAGTGTTTTTTTTTTGGAATTCAAAGAAATATTTCAATGTTAATTTATTTCTTATAATCAATTTAAATTTCAATGTATTTAACAATGTAACTAAGTACAACAACTTCTTTTTTTCTAGTTAAGATTAGGATGTCATGGGGAATATATAAATATTATATAGAGAGATTATTAGTACTGAAAAGACAGATCTAATAAAATATGAACTAAGAAAATTATAATTATGACAGACGATGGATTAACACCAGAACAAGAACAAGCAATTGAAAAATATTCAAAAATGTTGGAAACGATCAAATATAATACACAGAGTAATAGTAGTATAGAAGTAGAGTCACGTATAGGAATATTTGATAATGATCATAAATTTATTTCTGGAGTAAAGCAAGAAGAATTTTATATAGTATTGAATTATATGCAACAACTTAATTTAACACATAAAAAATCACATGAAATTGAAAAGATTTATCACAAAGGAGAAAGAGGGAATTTGAGGTATGTAACTGGTAAAGATAGAGAATTTATTCGATTAGAATTAAAAGAAAAAAGTAAAACAGAAGAACTTCAACTTGGTAGTTCTTTTGATTATTCATTAAGAATTCAAGTATCAAGAGAAACTATATTAAATTTAGAAGAATACAAAGAATTGGGGGATGAATATATTACACGTGAAAAGTCTAGGATAGAATTTGTATGGGTTCCAGAAATTGTTATTGATTTTACACATGTTTATCAAGTAGATGGAAAAAATAAAGGAAAAGAATTATTTGAAATAGAATTTGAATTTAAGTCAGAAGAAATAAAAAAAATACTTGATAATAGAGCAAGTGTCAGAAACATTATTAAAGAATATATGTATTGTGTAAATAGAATATATAACCTTCTTAAACGTTCACATGGAAATTATTTTGGGGATATAGAACAAAAACAAGAACATAAATTAACTAATGTTTTAGGGAGATTAATTTGTGATTCAATTGAAGGTGCTGATGGAAGTGTTAATAATTTTCCAGGAGCAATGCCAGTTAATTTTGGAAGAACATCATTTGAAATTATTCAAAAGAATGCATATATTGTTAGTGAAAAAACTGATGGTGTTCGTCATTTTGTTCTTGTTACAGAACATAAAGTATATTTAGTTACAAGAAAAATGGAATTTTTTATAGTTGATTTTCCAGAAATGGTTAAAGCATATGGTGAGAATGGAGTAAGTTTATTTGATGGGGAAATTGTAAGGAATATAAGAACAGTAAGACCAGTTTTAATGTTATTTGATGCAATTATTGTTGATGGTATAAATATATCAAAAAAGAAATATTCAGAAAGGATTAAAAAAATTGAAGAAATAGTAGAAAGAGTTGATAATAATGAAATACAAGCAAAGAATAGACCATTTGATATTATTATTAAAAAATTTTATACAAAAGAAGAAATAAGTTCTATATTTCAATTAATTTGTTTTTCACATGAAATTGGGAGTTATATTATTCAAGATGACATTAGATGTCATAGATCTGATGGTATTATTTTTGCACCAGATATTGAATATAAACCATTTGCTAATAGTGGATTATTTAAATGGAAATATATGACACATTGGACAATTGATTATGGAATAACTACTTCAAAAAATGGAGATGATACCTTTTATTGTAGTGATGGAAGAAAAGAGGTATTATTAAGAAAAGTTAATTTTAGTAAAGAAGATTTAAAACATTTTGAAGATGATAAAGCTATTTATCGATGGAATGGAAGTGGAGTTGTTGAAACTTCTTTAGATGTTTGGAGTGGACAATGGAAATATCATATTTATAGATATGATAAACCAAAACCAAATAATATTTCAGTATGTATTGATACATTAGAGGCAATGGCTTGTAATATTTCTAGAGAAGAGTTAATTTATAGATGTTCAGTAAAACCAGAAGAAGATCAATGGGAAACAGCATATAAAGAACAACTTTATATTGAGAAAAAGAAATTATTTGAAGCATATACACGACCTAAATAAAGTAATACAAATAATTAAGAGTTATTGTTATAATGAGGTTTTAATAAGAACCTCATTTTTAAATAATTTCATAATTCTAACTATAGATTTTTAGAAACATTTTTAATAAAAGTCATAAAAAAGAAATTAGTTATACAAAAAGTTGTGTTGACCAATCTTCAAAATATGCAAAAATATCATTCTAATATGAAAATAAATTGTTATTTATTTATTTTATTTATATTATTTACAAAAAGTAGGCTAGTTAATGAGTCAGAATTTTATTTAGAAAGTAAGTGTGGAGATGGATTATGGGATCAATTTAGTGAAGAATGTGATGGAGGAATTGGATGTAATTCAAAATGTATTTGTGAAGAAGGATATTTATCAGATGGAAAAGGGAAATGTATTATGTCATGTGTTTATGGAAAAGCATGTTTAAATGGATGTAATAAACCAGATATTTGTGATCATTGTGATACGAGTCTTGGATATAAAGAGGATTGTAGTGGATGTGAAGATGAATTTATGTATTTTGGAAAAAAACAATGTGGAAAATATAATGATAAAAATATTGAATCATGTAGTGAATTTTTTCAAAGAATGGAGCTTCAAAATATTTCTTCGTTTTCATTTATTTTAAATGGAAATAAAAAGAATATTGAAAATGGTAAGAAAAATGTTATCCATCACCTTAAAAATGTAAAATTGGAATATAGTTCTTGTTCTTATAATGTTGAAGAAAATAAACCATATACTTATGGTATTTGGATTAAAGTTTTATCAACAATTAATGAATGGGTTCTTGTTGAAATTGATGAAAAATATCATAAACAAGATAATGAGGTGATAAATTTTATTCAAACTGAAACTGGTAATAAATTTGCTTTTTCTTCACAATATACATGTGAAAATGTAAATTCTCTCATTCATTTTGCTGGATGTATATCAATGAATGAAGGAATAAATGATAACATTCATTCTCCAAGATTAAGTTTATTATTAAATGAAAATATTCCACAATATCTTTTTCTTCATTCAAAATATGCTTCATCTATATTACCTGATATTTCAATATATTTTAGTCAATTAGTTCATATTTGTTCATCAGTATATCAAAATATAAATTGGAATGGATTATCCAAATCAAATATAACTATACCACTTGATATGAAATATTCTTTGTTATCACAATCAATTTGTAGACAAGATAAAATTCAAGGATTTTGGTTTAGAATAGATGGCATTGATCAAACAATTGAAATTTTTACTTGTAATTCAAAACAACGAAATATTATTTTTGATATTATTTCTATTAATTCAACAAAATATAATATTGATGATACTTCTGATATTAGTTTTATTGATTGTAATTCAAATGAATTTAAATGTATGAAAACAGTAAGTAATGGTTGTCATAATAATTCTGGATCTGCAAGAGCTATTGTTACATTAAATCATAATGAAACTTATTTGTTATTTGTTGGTTCTTATGACACATCATTTTCAACAATAAATTTAACAATAAAAATGACATGTCCAGGAAATTGTGAATATGGTATATGTTCAGATTATTCTGGAGGATGTGAATGTTTAGATAATTATGTATCAATTAATGGAGCTTGTACATTATGTGGAAATGGAAAATTAGATTATGGTGAAGATTGTGATTTTTCAGTTGAAGGATATGTAGACAGTCAATGTACTTCAGCTTGTAATTGTGTATATGGTTCTGAACCTGTTAATATAAATGGTATAATAAAATGTGCTGTTCCAACATGTGGTAATGGGAAAATAGATGCTTATGAAGAATGTGATGGAGGATATGGATGTGATCATTGTGTTTGTGTAAATGGAACAAAAAAATATGCTAAAGGAAGAATTGATTGTATTTTAGAAACATGTGGAAATAAAAAATGGGATAAAGGAGAAGAATGTGATGGAGGAGATGGATGTATTGAATGTGAATGTCAAGAGAATTGGTATACAAATAAAAGAGCGGATTGTTCAAGAATTCCATTAATAATAAGAAAGGTATTATATTTAATAATAGGATTTATAACATATATTATTTTATATTGTATTCTCTTTATTGTTGTTTTATACTTACATATTGGTATAACAAAAAAAATACAACAAGAAGAAGAAGAAAATAAAAATCAAATTTTATTTGAAAATATAATAATTCCATTTGATGAAAAAAATTCTCAATATATTGATATACAACAAAATAATCCATATTTCGCATTTTCTACAACTCTAATAGATTTTGATGGTAAAAAATTAGAAATAGAAGAAATAGAGTCATTTGATATTCAAATTAAAAATAATTGGAAAGACCCTCTTCATTTTTCTTTTCATTCAGGAGATTATCAAAAATATGAAATTGCATGTCAACCAGTTATTGAAACTATTAAACCATTTGAAAGTATTACATTATCAATTTCTATAAGAATGAAATGTACTACAATATTAAATGAAAAAATTCCAATTACAATTAAATTTAAACCAATGAATGATATTATTAAAGACATTAAAAAACATAACCATTTATTACTTGAAAAAAATTTAATTGTAAATCAACTTAATAATTCTTATACAAATTCTTTAAGTTCATCAGAAGATGATTTAGTAAATCATTTAACAACATTTAATACAAATTATTCTACTCATGAAAAACAATTAAGTTCAATTAAAAATAATAAGAAAATTGAAAAATTTTATAGTTATTTAAATCTTCAAGTTGAATCTGCTCTTTCTACAAAATTAGATATTGAAGAAATTCATTTACAACATCAACCTATTGGTTGTGGTACATTTGGTATTGTTTATCGTGCTGAATGGAGAGGAGTTGATGTTGCAATTAAATTAATGAAAACTGATTTAATTGGAGTAGAAGAATTAATGCCTAATTTCATTCAAGAAGCAGAAATGCTTGAAAGAATTAGAAGTCCATATATTATTAATTTCATTGGAAGTGTAATAACTGTTGATACATTATGTCTTGTAACAGAATTTTGTCCATCAGGATCATTAAGAAAATATATTAAAATGAATTATACAAGTGATTTTTTAAAAGTTAGATTTTGTCAAGATATAGCACGTGGTATGGAATATTTACATGAAAATGATATTCTTCATCGTGACTTAAAAACTGATAATGTTTTAGTTTATTCTATTAATCCATATGATCAAGTTACATCAAAAGTTACAGATTTTGGTACTTCTCGTTCATTTATTGAATCATCAGGCAAAATAGAATTACAAAACATTGGTACTCCAATGTATATGGCACCAGAAATTACTAAAAAAAATTTTGTGACATTAAAATCAGATGTATATTCATTTGCCATTTGTATGTTAGAAATTTGGTTAGGACAAGATCCATATGATTCAACAGAATTTCCAAATTGTGAATCAATTTTAAGATTTGTTGGAACAGGAAATAGACTTAGTATTGATGATAATTGTTTTTTTAAAGATATAATAGAAAAGGCATGGGATCAAATTCCTGAACATAGACCTACATTTAAAGATATTAATATTTTATTGGAATTTTTATTAAGAAAAATTCAACCAAAAACTCCTACTCCTCAAATAATAAATGGAATAATAACACAAAATGATTCTGCTCATCCTCCAGATTATTAAAAATTAATTTATTTTATGTATTTAATTCTTCATTATTATGAATAAATAAAACAAAAATAAAAGTGTAAAATTATTCAGATGGTGCTTCAAGATTGTTTTTAATTTCTTCTGCCATTCTATACTTTTCAGCAAAAGACATAGATGCTACAGAAGCTCCTCTATCTTTCCATCTTCCTATAAATAGAATTAGTATAAATAATAAATAAATAATAAAAATATTAAGAAATAAACTATTTAACAAACGTGTTTTCATAGAACCTGCATTGAAAGTATTAAATTTATTTTGAATCAAATTTCTAGCCATTTCAGCTTTTTCCATTGCAGCTGTTTTAGCTCTTGCTTCGAATTGTTGTTGTTTAATTTTTTCTTTTTCAATAGCATTACTTAAATATTCATACCATTTTTCTTTTTCTTCAGTACTAATAAATGAAAATATAAATTTCTGTTTAGAAATCATAAGAACAAGACACATTTCTACTTGAATTCCTTTTGCTTCAATTTCATTTTCTTTTACTTCAGCAAAAGACATATCAAGTAATTTTAGTGTATTGTTAAAACTTAATTTCTTCTTTTGAGTTTTAGTAAACACTCCTTTTTCAATATATTCACAAACCATTAATAAATCATTAAATAAAATTAATGCCATTGGTTTAGCATTTTTCTTTTTAATTTCTAATACTTTTCCTTCAGCAAGTAATTCTCTAGAACCATTATTAATTTTAAAATCTTCAGGAAGGTTAGTAATACTCATTTGATATTCTTTCATTTTCTCAAACATCTCTCTTTTCTTTGTATTATTATTTACAGTGATAGTAACTTCAGTAATAAGTTTTAATGCTTGTTTAACATTTTCATGATCAGGATGACATGCAGGAGTATATTTAAGAAGATCTGCTAAAAGAAGTTTATAACGAGGAAGTCGTTGGACTGGAGTAATCAAAAATGCTGAAATTTTAAACTTTTTATATTGAGGAGAAGCATTCTCAAAAACTTGTTTTGAATACCAAGAAATAAAAGGATGATGTTCTGCTTCCATTTGACGAATAAGAATATCAGATTCATGATAATTCATACAATAGTCTGCATACATTTTAAATAAAGGTCCCATTTGATTAAAGATTTGACCAATTAAGACATTTGCATAATCTTGACATTCAAAACTCTTAATTAACTTTAAGAATTGTTCATTAACTGAATATATTGTTGTAATATCACTAAAAATTAATTTAATTTGTTCTGAACTTAAAATTGATTCTTTCTTAATTGGATTAAGTACAAATTTAATTACAGTATTTAATTGTTCTATATAACTTTCTTCTGTTGAAATAATTTCTTTAATTGTATTAGCTCGTTTATTCATTTGTGTATTAATTCTTTCTCTTCCTAATTTTCTAGCTGCTCGTGTAATAATAGTTGAAGCTAATTCTTTCTTCATTTTTTCTTTTATTGGAGTCCATTCTTCTTCTTTTTTTTCAATAAATTCTGTTGGTGAAATATCAGTGGCTAAAAAGAATGCTTGTTTTTTATTAACTTTATTATACATTAAGAATTGTGCAAACATTAATGCTGTCCAATTTCTATAATCCATTAAATATTTGTATTGAATCCTTTCTAGTCGTTTCTTATTTTCTTCTTTTTTTTCTCCTTTTTTTTCTTTCATCGTTCGTTCATTAATCGCTCCTTGTATTTTCTTTTTTTGCTCTTCACTCAATTTTAAATCAAATTCATCAAAATGTTTTGCTATGGCTATTAAATCATTCACAGTAGAAACGGCAATCTCTTCTTTAGTCAATTCTAAAACAACTTGTTCATATTCTTCTCCTTCAAATATTCCCATTAAAAACTTCGCTAAATTGTTCGTTTCCATCACCAAACCTATCAACTGAAATCTTAAAATTTCTTTACTTGAAAATAAAAATTTTTAAAATAAAAAAAAAATGATTTAAAGTAAAAAATTTAAAAAAATAGTTGCAAACCATTCAAAACAAAATAATTAAATTGGATAGTAAAAATATAGTTTTTTATCTTCTTAAACAAAAAGAAAGAACGAAATCGATGATTCAAGAAATAGAAATCTTAAAAAAAAAAGAAATCAAAAAGAGTGATGACAATAGTCACTTCCTCAAAGATATGGAAACAACCAGAAATGTATAATCATGAGAAAGATAATAACATCAGTGAATCAGTGACAAAAAAATTAACAACAGGTTTTATTCATAATTATCAAAAATGCAATCCTCAGATTGATTTTAATACTTTTATCGTTCGTCGTATCTTAACAATTCCAAGCACTCCATTACCAAATAACCAAGATGATAATGAATGTTATAACTTAATCGTTAGAGTAGATGATATTTTAGGTGCTGATTTTTCTACCTCGTTTGTTTTTCATAAAATACATTCACCAACTTATTAAAATTAATATTCTAGAGAATTAAATGGATTAAAAAAAAATAGTCAATATCGAGTTATTGGGTTATTAGGTCAAGGTTCTTTTGGTGAAGTATTTAGGTGTTTAGATTTGCAAACTAATCAATTAGTTGCAGTAAAAGTTTTGAAAAACCAACTAGTTTATTTAAGACAAGGAATGTTAGAATTAGCAATATTAACATTATTGAATGGTTATTACGACCCAATTGGAGAATTTCATACAATAAGAATGATGGATCATTTTATGTTTAAAAGTCATTTATGTATTGTTTGTGAATTATTATCAATTAATCTATATGATGCATTAAAAATGAATGATTATAAAGGACTTCCATATAATTTCAATCAATCAGTTTGTAAACAATTAGTTTGTTCTCTTCAATTGTTAAGAGAAAATGGAATAATTCATTGTGACATTAAACCAGAAAATATCATGTTATTAGCTTCATCGTCAAAAGTTCGTTTAATAGATTTTGGTTCAGCATGTTTCCAAGATAGTCCATTATATACTTATATTCAATCTCGCCATTATCGTTCTCCAGAAATTATTATTGGATTACCATATTCACCAGCAATAGATATGTGGTCATTTGGTTGTGTTGTTGCTGAATTATTTCTTGGGATTCCTTTGTTTGCTGGAAGTAGTGAACATAATCAATTAAGTAAAATCATCCAATTAATTGGAATGCCAAGTACAACATTATTAAAAAAAGGAAGTCGAACTGATGAATTTTTTTGGAGAAGAAGACCATCACCAAAAATTGTTCAACATGAAAATGGTGAAGTAAGTGCTGTAGAGACATGTGAAGATGAATATTTTGTATTGAAGACACGATACGAATATGAAAAGTCTATGAATACACACATTACAGCAAACAAAAATTATTTCAATGAAAGTACCTTAGAAGGAGTTATTAAAAGTTGTATGAATGATATTGAAATGAATGAAGAAGAAGCAGATGTGTTGATTGATTTTTTGAAAAAAATCTTTGTATATGATCCAAATGAACGAATGACTCCAACAGAAGCATTAAACCATCCATTTATTAAGAGTATTGATAGAAACAATCCTATAAAAGAAATGAAAGAAATAAAAGAAATAGAACGTATTCGGTGTGTTAAATTAACTGGAGAAGAGGCAAAAGAAATAGTATTTCCTAATAAACATGATAATATAGAAATTTATAATGCAGAAAATTATTATCGAACTTATGTAACTGCATTACAACATGGAATTGTTTTAAATATATTAGACCCCAACCCATTCTCATTACCTACATTAGCAGTATTTCATCCACAACTTGGGTTTGCTATTTTACTTCATAAAAATATTGTTAGTAAAAATGAAGGTGAATTTGTTCCATTACCATTTAATAAATCAAAACGTGTTACTGTTGAACAAAAAGAAGAAAAAACACCTATAATGACATTTTTTGATGGAAGTACGGTTGTTACTGCAACTCCTGTTTATAATGAACAAATGATGTCATTGTATGAACAAGCTCAAAAATCAACTGATGACTATATGTTAACTTATAATTTTGACAGTATGTATAATTAAAATATAAGTGTTTATATTCTTACTTAACCAGTTTCATGCTTTTATCTATTTTCTTATTATTTCTTTTTTTTTTCTTCTTTTTTATTCTTATTGTCTATATCTAATACTATTTATTAATCTTTATTCTTTTTATTTATCTGTTTTAATTTAATTCTTTTGTTTATTCTCTTTCTAATTAGACACTTTTAATTTTAATTCTTTTATGTTTAATCCATTTTTGAATGATTCTGAGGGTAATATAATCTCTCTTGTGGTTTTAAGAAGTATTTTGTGGTTCAGAGAAAAGTAAAAAAGTATTTAATTAACAAAAATTAATGAGTAGGAAGAGAGTTTTTAAACAACAAACGAACTACATTAGAGCTTTTTTTTTCTGGAGTGTTAGCAGTGAAAGTTATTAATCTAACCAAGAGAAACTAGACAAGTTAATTTTATTATTTATAATGGTTTAATTTTAGATGAAGAAAATTATAAAAGGTTATCTAAAATAATTCTAAAAAGAAATGGTTATCCAAATAGAAAATAAACTAATAACAAATAGTTTATTTTTTGTATAAAAAACACAAAAATCTATAAAAATAATATGAATATCATAAAATTACTTGAACAACAAATTGGGAACTATGTTAAACATTTTCAAGAGAAAAGGATTAGACAAGTAGGTACTAAATTTGTACAAAAAAGAAGAATTGGAGATGGTGCAGGTGGATGTGATTCATGTGGATTTATAAATGATGGTGTTTTTTATGGAAAAGGAAAACAATTGTCTATTATTGATAATGGAAGAGTTGAACAATATGAAGTTGGAAGTAGTGTTAGACAATGTATCAAAACTGATGATGGGGTTGTTGTTGTATTAAATGAAAGAATTGAATTTAAAGGAATTTTTGAATATATTATTGATGGATTATTTGAATGCATTGCCACAGATGGGATGGTTATTCTTGTTGGAAATGTTAAAGGATTGTTTTGTTTCAATAGGAATAATCATAGCCTTGATATTGTTCGTTAT